ACTCACCTCTTCAGATGGGCGTAATATTTGTGTGAAGTGATTTTTCATCGCCATTTCAAAGCTGACCGACCATCTGAGGTATCCTTGATGGACTGAGGGACATCCATAGAGCTTTAGGAGGCAGCTGGGGCTAGCTAAGAAGGATTTTGCAGTTTTTCTGTTCGAAATGCGCTCCCTCTCCACGGAGTTGCAAGTGGGGAGCTTCTCTCTGCCTCGCTCAATCTCTCCCTCCGTGTGTCAGCTCTCGCCATCTCCTCTGTTCAACTCTGCCTTATTCGCTTCACTGCTGCCGCCGCTCGCGAACGACGGCGCCCGACTTTTTCCCGGTGAAATGTTGCGATAATCTTAGTAACGGTTTTTGTTGTTTGAGCTGCCGTCAATAGCTTCAATGGCTCCCGTTTTCTCAATAGGTGGCTACTTTTCATCGATTAAGAACCCTCCGCGTTGATGAACGTCGGGTGGTCCCTTGAAGCGGGACCGATCCTGAACCGCCACTAATCCCAAGGCACAGTTTCACTACTGAGCTTCCAGGTCTCACCTTAGAATCGTTCTGCTAGTCGAATTAATAAACACTGGGTGAACTCTTCATGGTAATCAGTCTTATCTATGCCCTCTCAACAGTCATCAACAACTTTTTGAAGAGCTCGTCGTCAAAGAAGTCTTTGCTAAAGGGGGGCTAGTTATTTTACGAAGTAACCTTTAAAATTTTTTTCTCTCTAGAAGTTCCTAGGCTATTTCAATGAACATTTTTCTTCAGTGTTTCTTCTTTTTTTTCTCGCCCGTTCCTATCTGAAGGTCGTTGTTTATGGCCTTGCCACCTAAAAAACTCATACGGTCAAACCTGAAACCTTCATATTGCTCTTAACAATTCTGCATTTTTACGTGACTTGCTCCGAGTTACGATGTAGTCGGTGCGTTTTCAAAATTCCGTTTAAGCCTTGTAGTTGTCTCTTTCGTCAGTGGGGTCCGCAATCCCTTTGAATAGAAATTTCCCAATTCGATGATTCTTTTTCGAACTCGGCCTCTTTTTTCTCGAGTGTACTTTCGGGTCCGCAAAATAAGATGATGGGAGAAATTTTTCGTTTGGCACGTCATCTGCCGGCAGTTTCGTTGTCGGCTTCGTGTCGTCGTCGGCTAAACCTTCAGGGGCATGCAGTCCCCTTTAATGGGCAGTAGTTGTGTCGTTCATTATGTCGCCTCCAATTTAGTTGATCGATAGCCTTTAAAGATGAAAATGGAGTCTAAGAAGATAGCTGCTTGTTCGATAAGACTCGTCATGTCGTATCGATTGATGTCCAAATCGATTATTCATTGTTCGTTCGAAGACCGGTTTCTTTATCTCAGCCGTATACACATACGAGCCTTAGGCACGGACTGAGTTGACTAGGACGCGATACAGCTGGGTGTTCGTTGGCCCCCCGCAAGCGCTCTCTCCCCCCAACGTCGTTTAGCGCACGTCGCCCACTACAGTAACCCGCACTGGACGCGTATCTCTCGATGTGCCTGTGAGCGAGAGAGCAGGAGAGACGTGGACTAGAGAGTAGGGTTGAGTGCGAGTGAGTGAGTGACTGAGTGAGTGGTCATGTGTGCTCTTCAGCTGCCGCGGACAGACAGAGACACACTATTGCCTCAGCCGCCTCGCCCGCGGCCCTTTAACGTAACTCGTAATCGATTGGAGCTTTACGAAGAAAGAAAAGTAATTTCATGTTGCGAACACCCTCGAAGTCGAGATAAATTCGTACCATTGGCGGCTATAACGTACAGTTCAGTTGTCGTGTACATTGCACGTTTTTCTTCGTACACATGTGTGCTGCCATCGATTTTGTCAGAGAGGCGAGAACGAAAAAAAAACCAACGCGCTGCCGGCGATATCCGGTTTCGAGGCGTTATTGATTATTGGGTCGAAGCAGTGGTGGGGGTTTGATGACGGTGTTGGTGGTGACATCGAATTGTTCCGGGGGAAAATTTTCACATCACCACCTCACAGACGATGATTACGGTAGCGAAGTGCATTCGGGTGTGTGCGTATATGTGTGTGTGTGCAGTGCAGGGGGGAATGTGATCGAAATCAGCGTGATGGTGAAGTGGCTAGTTCATCATTGCCGTCACTATCGCCGTCTCTCACCTATGAGCTCTTGTTAGCCAATGACACTTTAGAAGTCCTTGTGCTACACATTTCTGATTCGTCGGGACACTGTGCAGTCCGCCCTTTTTTCCGTTGCCATTGGGCGGCGCCGAGTTCCGGCTAGCGGGCGTTTTTCAGCCAGTTGCGACATGACTCGGCTGTTCAATGGGGCTTTTTCTCCCTGTTTTTCTCTTCTCGCGGCTAAGAACCAAATACATTTTCCCTTTCATCGTCCATTGAAACCATTCTCAGAGATCTCGTCAGAGAGAGGGGAAAACAATCTGATCCGGGGATTTCCTCACTTCTAGGACTTCTAGAATACATCTACCTGGATTGGACCCACTTCTTACGGAATTCATCACCTTATTTGGGAATGCTGTCGGAATCTCCCTCTGGGGATGGCTACTATCAACCCCACCAGAACTTTCTCTCGTACCACTCCGCGATTACGGTAGTACCGGGAACTTGACATCTTTTTGAGGTATTTTACTTTCTCTGTTTCAAACCTGTATGTGTGCGAATTTCCTACATATACAGGCGGATTATTTTCACGTCGTCGGAAACGAGAGCCCTTCAAATTAATTTCTCTGCGTCTCTCCGTGCCCTGATGATGTCTAGACCCCGTGGCAGAGTTCCTCTAAACTCTCCCCGAATTTACACACTACTTTTGATATGCTAGCGTTTTGTCGGCTAGCAACGCTTTTTCTCTACTTTATTTGTTTCTCTCACTAGGGCGGGGTATTTCTGCTCTCAGCATTTTCTCTATAACTGCGGCTCACTTTCTAACCAGCTCAGTATCCTTTGCGTGTTTTAGATGGATCTAGGAAGTAAGCAGAGCTAACCCAAGGTTCCCTTTCAGGCTTCTTGGGCCCCAGCTGGAGGTGTTGAGAAAGTTCTAAGTCCATCACATTGTGTTTATGTACGGCTTTGACTGGTCCTAGTCTGTTTTTCACCTAAATTTACACCTGGTTGTCGGGCAGCAAACGGCAGGGTGAAGACGAATTGCCTTCATCGGTTTGACGGGGCAACGTCGCAACAGAAAAACCCCTATGTCGCAACCGTTTTCGGCTGCGTCTAATTGAAAATTGAGCGTTTTGTCATGGGAGGGTAAGGGTGTGGTTGGAATTGCTCCCACTTTCGGGCAAGCTGGCACTTACCCCTCGGAGCCTCTTTCTGTCGAGTGTAGCTCCTGATATAGGCCCGTATAGTTGAAGGCATGATGAGCAGAAAACACGTTCCCGATGTTAAGCCGGGAATAATCCTTTGGGATTTGTTGGTGCCAGAATGTGCTTCCTATTTAATTGTACCTACACGCACATATACACATACACACATCGCGCACATAATGGCAGAAAGTGTACGCACAGAACGCGTCATTGGCACAGGTTACGGTACCGCGCGCGCGTTGTGTCGCGGTCTGTCGTCACTGGTCGAGTCGGCGCAGACAGGTAAGGCTAGGCCACCTAGAGGGCTCCGTCCGTACCGAAGACGAGCGCCACCACCACTGTCACCACACCACACACATATACACACGCACACACACACACGTACGCGCACCGCGTAGAGCACCGCCCATCGTCTTCTCTACACCCATTGTGAGTCGCCTTTTCTTATGCCTGTATTTGGCCTTCTGTTCTCGTTTCTTCAGAAATCTCACTTTCTCGCGCCCAATGAGGTCCACTCAGTCGCGGTCAAACGACTTTCTGCTTTTTGTGGATTGAATTGAGTAAAAAGAACTGGCATAGAACCGCGCGTTGCCATCTGTTTTATTGATCACGGTTTCCAAAGAACGTGGACGAATCCTTTGCGAAGAGTTGTGAAAACGTGGGTGAGCCTCACTTCGGCGGGTCCCCCAGCCATTAATCCACCTCAAAAGTGTTCCTCGGCAAAAAGCCTCTTGAAAACGGACATCATCTCTACGCCCATGATCTGGGGAAAAACCTATTGTATGGTTTGCTAAACACACAAAAGCTCCTTTTCATGTGTTCGTATACTTCCTGTAGTCACCCGACGAAAGACTCCCAGGCGTCAGCCTCATTGAGGTTAAGAGATTGTCGACCTGGAAAAAAATCACCTCTGCGCGGTCAACGGTGATTTGGGGGAACGTTTAAATTATTAGGGGAAGAATTGTGCCATCTGATAACGGGAAACCTTTTTAATGGCGGTTTCGAACTTGGGTCTTCTGCGTGTCTTTTGATAGTTCTCCAGTCAGCAGCTTACGAATCTGGACCTAGAGCGACTCCTTTCATGGACTATTCCACCATCTCACTTGCTACTGTTCCACGTTTCGTATCTCCGACCCCAGGATATTTCCTGAATGCCTATTCTTGGTCCTGAGATTGCACACATATGCCGGAGATCATTTTCGACCCGCCAGTACCACCGAACGTCTTTCGTATTGCCCAGTCTGCCTTGGAGAACGTCTCTCGAACTACCAGTTCTGTATGGAGCACTCAACAGTACGCATAGCTGTGGTTGCGCAGCGTCGATTTCTTTGTGTGAATCATCGTAGTTGTCGTCTTCGTTGCCCTCTTAGTGGCTTCGACGTCGCCGTTGTACAACCAAATTCAATTCAGGTTTTCTCCACTCACACTTCCACACCCAGACGTGACGCACATGCGGTCGCGTTTCGCCGCGCACCGTCGCGTAGAGCGCAGAAACTCCTCGCCTGCATGGGGAACTTTTCAGCGAGTAGTGTCGTTGGTGTGTGTGCTCCAGAGAAGAAAAAACGCGCTTTCTGCCCAGTGTTCGGCGAGCCGCATATGCGCACAGCTGTTCGAGTTGCCCTCACATTCATGGAAATCGTCGTTCCGACGTAAACACTATACGAAACGTGATAGCGAAAAAGTGGATTTTTTACATCGGAGCCCCTCCCATGACGACGGAGGCTTGGTCTGACAGGCCATGCCGTGTCGAGAGAGTCGAGAATACGGTGAATAACGCGACCGTTTACGCTCTGCTGAACACCTCTCAGCTTCTCCTTTTATCTAATGTTGCCACTCCTAGAGCACCCCATCAACTATGCTAGAACTGAAGCGTACTGGAAACCAAAGTTATTTTAACTTCGTAACTTACAAGTTAATGAAGATATATTTTTGACTATCGATTTTTTTATTATTGATGGACATGTCATTAGATTAATGGCTCAGGATTAGAGTGAGATGACATTCCTCAAAGCCAAGGGGCACGATGGCCAGGGGCAGGCGGTCATTGCCAGCGCCATTGGTGGAAGAGCTGAGGAACTGTGACCAATCGACCTCTCGCAGCCCTTCCACCAATGACGTTGGAAGTGACTGCCCGCCCCCACTTATCGTGCCCACTGTCTTTGAAGGGCACAATGTGCTGCCGAATGTGTGAAAAGGAGTGTTCTGATGGTATTCATGGTAGATAGTAGATGTATGATTTCAGTTCGAATCGAAGCCGGACGTGGGACAGCTGCAGTCGCAGATGCAGATGCGCGAGGCGAAGCCGTACAAATGCACGCAATGCGTGAAAAGCTTCGCCAATTCGTCCTACCTCTCGCAACACATGCGAATTCATCTCGGCATCAAGCCGTTCGGACCGTGTCAATATTGCGGTAAAAAGGTTAGTGGACGTTCAATGAGTAAAAAAATACTCAAAAAAACGTACACAACTTAGATCGAAGAGACATTAGATCAG